CACAACGGTCATCTCGTAGAGCCACAGGTATCAGTCTTTTCATTTTTTTTTTGAGTCAAAAATTTATTAAAATAGATTACATTATGTCTTGTTTTTCCGAAAATCTTTTATTCTTTATTTCTTTTTAAACAATAGCCAAGAAAAATTATAACTTTGACAGCGATGATTCGAATGAAAGTGTTCAAGAATTATTCAATCAGTCTTCTGATTCGGAACAAACGTAAGTATAATTGTTATATATCATATTGACTTGCTTCGTTATTTCTCCACACACATCGCGTATTTTCTTTAGATCCAAGAAGAAATCCTCCCTTATAACGCTGAGCGATTCCGACGATAATATTAAACCGAACAAGAAACCACAATCAGCACGTAAGTAAACATAATATATATTTAATATATATTAAGTAATGTATTTATACAGAAAATATTAGATATTTATTTATTTCTGCACAGCGACTTCAGAAGAACTTTTTGATTCGTTAGTCGGCAATTCTCCTGAGAAGCAATCTTTACCTGAAAAAAAACCCTTAATATCCTCATCCGGAGAAGATTCGCCTATAAAATTTGCGTCACCTAAGAAAGGTAATAAATGATTACCTGAATCGTACAACTAAATAAAAGTTATTTTGTTGCTCATTTCTTGTATTTACAGCACGTAAGAAAAAGACCGAGAACGGTGGTAACAAAGGAGTGAAGAGACAGTTGAAGAAAAAATTGAAATCATCCGAGGACTCTGACACAGATGACTTATTTACCACTAAACAAAGAGTAAGCGCGACATTTTTGATGTATTCAATATAATAATTAGGATAATGTCATAAGAATTTTTTATTGATTTAATTTTCATTTAAAAAAAATAGAAGAAGAAAAAGAAGGTATCAGAATCGGATGAAGAAAAGATATCTGATGATTCGCCGCCCCGAATCGGTAGAGCTCGGAAGCCAGTATCTTACGCACTAAAGTCAGATGACAGCGACTCTGATTGAACATCACTCTGAAAAATGCGAGACGTAGTTGACTGGAGTAGTTTAGAGTGGATCGGACAACACGAGACAAGACGAAACTCACAAATCATGAAGAACTGTTGCACATAAGTTTATTTGGAGAATTTTCAGAGATTTCGTCCCCGCTGATTGTTGATCATGAAATTAATAATAATTTTATGAGGGGTACTTCGAACAGGATTTGCCAGAATATGTTCTAAGAATAATTTTGAGGGCAGAAATAATTTGGAATAAAAATTTGTATTTCTGCTTTTCTTGAATAACATTCGAAGATTTACTTGAGCAATACAGTTGCTCGACCTCTGGCACATTCTTCCTGAAATGCTCCATACAATGTTGTACATAATTTTACTCTTTGAGTATAAGTACGCATAAAATGTTGCGAATGAATAGAATTTCGTGAAATTAAAACACTGTAGACAATGCTGCAGAACGTACCCGAGTGTGCTCAGAATACTCACGTAAATTTCATTATATGATCGAAGTCTCCTCGGAAAAAAAATTCTTTTAGTGCTGACTGTATATTGTGTTATATTGTGATATCGAATTTTCACGTGTTCGTGTTTTAGACGTTTTGTTTTTCAAAAGCTCGAGGAGAATACGTGGTACGCTTTTATCTTGCAAAAAAAATGTCCAGCGTCGCCTCTATGCTAGATAGATTAATTAGTACCGCGCAAAAACGAGGAAACACTTCTCCCGCGCACAATCATTATTATATTATTCTCCTCGTCAAAATTTTATTGTATATAATTCGATAAAACTCAAAGAAAAAGAAAGAAATAGAAAAGAGAGAGAGAGAGAAAAAGAGACATGCCGATTCCGGAAAATAAACGTAGAAAATGAAATAAAATATGAAATATATACAATTTTTAAATATATTTTTACATACGTCACAATATGGATTTTTTTCAGGTTATCTAAAGACTAAAAGAAATTATACAGCGGTAATTAACTATTATACATATATACATAGAACGGATCTTAGAATTATGCGGCGCTCAATATCGGTTAAGCAAAGCTGTCGGACGTTTTAACTTTATACTGACCACGCGTAGAATAAAATAAATTTATTTAGTGCTCGTGTCTCATAGGTAATAATTTATAGATTTTGAACTGTTGAGCGAGTCAAGACTCGGCGTAATCGAATAGTTGAGAAAGTCACGATTGTAATTAGAATTAGAAAAAGAGTCGGAGCTAAAAAGTTAATGCGAATCAAAAACTGATCGATTCCCCTCATAATTTACGTGCTCATCCTCCTCTCTCTCTTCTCTCATATATAAATGTTTTTTATTTTACTTTCCATATACGAATTCGAAGAAATTAATTAACTTCGAGGCATATTTGGTGTTCATTTCACTTCTCCGACTACAATTATACTAGTTCTGTGTACGCATAACTTGTTCACTCGTAGAATAAGATAAAAAGAATTATTATGTTGTAATTAGTGCAACGATTTTACACCTGCTATTAAATGAATATCTCAATACAGAGACCAGTCGATTAGCCCTCGGCCCAAAGCGCGCGCGTTCTCAGCCTAATCAATACTTCGTGTAACCTTGGCGATTTTCATTTTTATATAATTCACACATACTAAATACGTATATATAAATATATAAATAAAATGTTCTAACTTTTGAGACATTCGGCAATTCATTGTTCAACATCGTTCGCCAAAAACGAAAGTGACGGAAGAGAAACGAAAAACAGCGGGGATATCATGCATACCGTAAGAGATGCGTGTGATTTATATTTAATTAATAAGTTTACTAATTTTAAATTATACACAAATACGTAAAATTTATTGCTATAACGTTTTCATACACCGCCTTCGACGCAATTCCTATTTCTTTCCTTTTCATTCTCTTTTTTGTTTTATCGTGAGGAAGATCGTGACTATATGCCGACATGCAGGGACGATTGGAAAAGAAAAAGACCAGTATTTAGTATTACGGATATTATAATAGTATGTAGATCATGGCAATACCTTATAGTCGATGGAAAGGTATTTTTCTTTCTATTTGTGCTCAGTGAAAAGTTTTCGATAAAATCCTTTTTTTTTTTAATTTTTCCGTTTCTATTTTACATGCACGTGATTGCATTCACCGATTACGTTCACAGAGAATTCCATAGATATGTATAAATGTAAAATATCCTTCCTGTCGCAAAGTATACGAATCCTATGTATTCTCGCGTAAATGTTCATCATTCACCACGAGAGATCTCGAAGGCGTTATAAACGCTTGGCAAATTACACCTTCGAATAATTTTTTGAAGGCCGGCTGCAGTAAACTTTTAGAGATAAGCTTTACTCAATCTAGGTTCATCGCGCGAAAATGATATAACGGAGAAACAATGCAGATAACAATTTTTACAGTTTATTAAATTATTAATTTATCGGGTTAATACTCCTCCCTCCCTCCCTTCTTTTCTTTGTTAGCGAAAAGAATTTCGGAAATCCACATCGTAGAGAAAAACTATGTCGAATTACAACGCGGATTATATCCCTTTGGAATCGTGTCACCTCAAAGAGCATCAATGAACACGATTAATGCGACGTCGCGCGTGTAAAATAAGAGCGCATTGCATTTTTTCGCGAAAAAAAAATGGGATGCGGGATGCAGGAACGGTTGATATTCTTTTTTTTTTGTCAAAATTGAAGCGACGGATCTAAGTAGTAGACTCTGTTCAGACTTGTAATGTATTCTCCTCTCTCACCACACTTCTGCCAATCACATTGATGGTATTGAATTGTCATCAATACCCCGGTGCCCACATTGTACCAATAACTGACGCAATATTTTAACAACACACGCACTCGCTCGCTTTAATCTCACTTTCGCTCTCAACACATTCTCTCTTCATTCTCTCTTTCTCTCTCTTTCTTTTACTCCCAGAAGCTACGGCTCGCCGACGGACGCGACTATAATACAAAGCAAGGGCACTTGATAAAATAACTTAGTTTTCTATTTCATAATTATCTATATATAACGTACATATATAAAACAAATTACGAGTAAAGAAATAATGATTGGGTCGGTATAGCATTTCACGGGCTTTCTTATCTTAAAGATTTGCTCGTTTTTCCTTATCCTCGTCATATTTTTCCCGTACTTCTCGTCTGATTAATTAATTATAAATCATTTAACTGTTTCTTTAAACTTGCTCTGTACACATATTTGGATCCGCGCTTTCTCTCTCTCTCTCTCTCTTTCTCTCGCTCTTTTTCTCTATCTCTCTAATTTTAGAGAAAAAAGGGAGAGAAAAGAGAAGAGAAAAGAAAAAAGGAGGAAGAGTGAAGGAGGAAAAACGTAATGCGTGGCTTCGTTATAGCGAATCGACACGGGATTTTAAACTATACACGCGTGAGAACGGGTTTTACAAGTGGTGATGATAAGTGATGGACTACGATGCTTTTTTTTTATTCACTTTGGGAGCACATCGCGACTCACACACACACACACACACACACACACACACTCTCTCTCTCTCTCTCTCTCTCTCTCTCGTTTTCTCTATGCGATTCTCACTTCGCTCTCTATCGGACTATCGTTCCGGCATTATAGATAAAGCCCACTCTCGTCTCAGAATAGGAACAACCAATCAAATCTCCTTCGTGTACTCGTGTCGTGTATGTGTTTTCGTATGTGGGCGTGGATGCGCGTGTATGTTAACCGTTATTAGTCATGATACAGGTAATAATGTTAATATTCGAATAAAGTAACATGATGCACAGGCCGAGCATTCATGGAATGCCGGTACCGGCGCCGGAGGTCATGCGAGGATAGAGCCACCACAGTTGTCTTCCCACTGTCAATGCTTGTCGTCGTTCTTTTTACACCATATATATATATTATGTCGAATTTATTAGTTTATATATATATATATAT